GGAGGGAGGGAGGGAGGGAGGAAGGGAGAGAGGAGGCTGTCTTCAAGGAGCACACACTTAGGAGGTTTATCCTTTAAGCAGAGCTCTGTACTACAAACCCATCGTGGTCAGGGCCTTCTGCAGCTCCTGCGGATCCACGGTTCCACTCCTATCGCTATCGAAACTGATGAAGTGTTGTCTCCAGCCATTCAGCACGGCCCAGAGCTCTTTGAATTCATTGAACCCCATCGTGCCGGACATATCTCTCTGGATTATCATTAAGGATGGGAACTGTCTCATTTCACACCTTTAACGATTATGTGAGAGAACGTAGAAGGGGAAAGGGAATTCAATGCTCTTTCTGTTAAAATGGCAGAAAGGCACCCCACGTTTTAGAAAGCTAGTCTACATTTTTGTTGGTATGATATAAGAAAAAGTAATGATAAGTGATGTAATCAATGACGCATGGATTTGAAGCTCTGAATACCCATTTTTACTGTGGGGGAAAAGAGACCACTATGTGGTCTGAATAAGAGAAGACGAGACAGTATTGTAAGGCGCCCTGTAAAAAGGCAGTTTTCTTACCAGAAGTGGGCTGCATTTCCTCGGTGCCCTAGGCTATGGGGTCTGACAGTCCCTTGGACTTCACTGGTAGAGTGAGCTGCAGTGGAAAGTAGCACGCGAAAGAAATTCTGTACCTCAGGCTAACCTCCAATTTGTAATACAGCACATGTTACCCTCAAACAAACTCACAGTGATCCTCCTGCCTCAGCATTCTGACTGCTGAGATTACAGGCTTGAGCTACCACACCTATGGCACCTTGGGCAATCTTGACTAACCTGTCTTCTATTTTCTAAACTTCCTGTCTGTCTGTTACTCACACCAAATTACATCCTAACAGCTAGCTATTTCACAAAGCTTTTTGGTGGTTACTTGCAATTTTTGGAGTACTTGTTCCTTCATCCTGAGATGAGTTTTTTTAGAAAGACAATTTTTTTTTTTTGGTCACGGAAAAAACACTCTAGACAACCATTAAGGTAAAGGATACATCCAACATTGAAACCATAAGGCGACAGGTCTCCAGGTTAAAAGCTGTTAAATCAAAGAAAGTACATGCATCAATATAATTTCAAATTTTCACATTACATTGGAATGATTCAAAATAATTATGAATTCTGTTATGAATTCACTCTTTAAAACATGCTACTCAATTTGTATGGGACAGAGCTCACTATGTTTGGCTTATACCAATACTGTGGGACTGTGATGCAAACATGGTCCAGTTTCAAAAAACTGTACTATCCATATATCTGCCCATGTTATAGCTGCCCGCGGGAAGCCCAATCCCTGCACCCCCATGATCCAATCACCTTGTAAATAGGGTTAGGGTCACCTGGCAGCCCCACTGCTGTCACTCCAGTTCAGTCATTTCTTTAAGCTGTAGGCCTCCGTGGGCTCTTTAAAAGACATCCAGCCACTCCCTAGTTCCTATGATCTGGAACTGTTTGAAGAACCTGTAGCAATACTAAAGTCCTGCAGACTGCTATCCCTGGCTGAGCAGAACATTGTGTAGACAGATGCCATCATCCTCAAGCTAAAATGATCTTGGACTACTTGGCACCTTTTATAGCCAATAACTCCAACTTTTGCATCTGGCCCAATGTTCTCTTACTTCATAGAAATACTCCTTACAATGCATCACTATGCTTCGCAGACCTCTAACATCTACCGGTAGTACAGCCATGAATATTTTAACAACTGAAAGCTATGGGCCCCCACTTTGATGAAGTCCGTATACTTATCTTTCCACCAGAGGAAATGGCAAAGGTCCTCGTTCATGACTTTCTTTTATTCTTTGACTATACAGGTTCATGTGACTTGTTCCATCGAGGAACATGTCATTCAAGGTGACTTGAGTCCATGTTCCTGAACTGCAGTCCTTAATGTTTGGCTCAGAATAAACTATTTCTATTTCCTTTAAAGTGGACTCTATTCTATATTTTCAATGTAGTCCTTACCTTCTGACTAGGGTGGCATGTGTTCTCCAATACAGAATGTTATAGGGTGTTCTGCTCTCAGGGTAAAAGCCAGAACCCCTACATAGATTTCCCCACTTCACCAACAACCAGGCAGTATCTCCACAGGGTATCTGTCACCTCCATAACTAAACCATGTTCCATCGGGGTCTTTTATATATACCATTCTATATGCCTGAATTATGTACCAACATCCTCCCCATTGGCATCATTATGGCTGGACTTTTGTTTTGTCTTCAGCCTCAGTAATTTTGCAGGCTCACTCCTATCTACCTAGAGCAGGTGCCTGCATACCCAGTGTGACTGTCCATCAAAATATGGACTGGTTGGTTGAAGGGATGAAAGAGTGGGTGGTCTGAATTCTCACCCCTAGATAGGAGCTGAGTTTAGTGTAGAAGTAAGCCTCATTTGTAAAGGTGAAGGAGGAAGGTAGATTATTATTTTTAATAGACTATTTTGGGTTTTATTGATATTTACAGTTGTATATAGTTTCAAAATTACCCACGTGCTGCTTTCCCTATGCTGGGCTTCTGTTCGCTCTACCAGAGTATCTCCGTCATCTTTTCTTCCAGTAGAAACAATGACACAGGCCTAGAAAGGAAGGAATCCTCTCCCTGCTTCGGCCAAGCTTCTTGCAGAGGAACCACCAAAGTCAAGGAAGGGAAAAGCTGAATTTCCATGTTGGAGACTGGAACTCTCCCCTTCAAGTCCCCCTCTAAGGATGACTGGTCCTGATCTGTAGTATCTCATTTGCCCCTTCCACTTTCAAGTCTTTGGCCTATGATTTGGAATCTGTGTTTAAAAGAGCGATGGCTGTATAGTTTCTGTACTGTAGAACTCATGACATACAGAAGTTGGGAGGTATATCATGGATACTAGAGGGAACTAAACTAACTAGATCACATGGTCCTTGTGTTTCAGGAAATGTGTTTCTCTTCTTTAGGACCAAGCTATATGACAAAAATTTCAAAAGCTCTTCTTTCTTGAACTAATTACCCAACTAGGAAACAGTAATTGAGCATTGAAGCCACACAAAACAGGGCATGGTAATAAGAGCAACCCAGTGTTTTAAAGATGGCCATCTAGAGAACACAGCACCTCCAACAGCTGAAAGCTGGCACTGCAAATCCTTAGGTATGCGTTCTAAGCATAATGGAGTCGCACATATAGTCTGCAAAAAACAGAGCAGAAGGCTGGCATGGAGTGAAACAGGAAGGGGACTGTCCTCAGCATGAACACATCGTCTCAGGTGACAGAAAGAATGACCTAGAAATGTCATGGCCGATAAGTGTTTGTATTATCAGGTATGTTAAGCCCAAGGCCCAGAGATCAGACGACAAGACTGGCTATGCTCTCAGTGCCGCCAGAGTTAGGATAGAGCAGGCACTTGGCAGAGTCAGTGGTACATGTTAGCGCTTAGCATTAATGACACCTGACCTGGCGGATTCCATTTCAGCACCCTAACTTGTCCTCTGTGTGGGAAGCCACCCAAATTGTTTCACTGGTTTCAATGGTCCTGGAATACAGGGAAATCAAATCCAAGAAATCTACTAACCTCTCTGGTAAACTAGAATGGCTTGATAGGAACCATGATCAATTAACCTTTTAAAAATAATAGCTTGGTGGATGAGAAAAGTTCAGTTTCTTTAAAGGAACAATTGCAGTTCACAGCTGAAGTACAAAGAACAGGAGTATTATTAGACAGATCCTAAGACCACGAACTTACGTTTGTATCCTCCTGCAATGCCAGACTGTGTCAGACATCGCTGCAACTCGTCAGCATCAATTTGTCCATCCTTTAAAAACCAAACAAAAACCAGGAAAGGAAATCAGGGTGGTGATTTGCACTTTCAAGTCCTTAAGAAACATTAACAAGAAAAAATAATTATATGTAGCATTTTTTTAAAGGAATGCTTTTCAAAATTCAGTATTCTTCTTACCCTAATTCCAAAAATAATTCAATGGTGAGAGAATATTTGTCATGGCAAACAGTCTACACTCAGTTTGAACCAAGAAACTATCAAAATCAATCATTTTAAAATTAGTTAATGAAACTGTTTAAAAACATATCCCTCCAACCCCCTTTTTGAAAGAGGAAGGAAGTAGGATATATCACAGACTTTTAGGTATCAGTAAATACAAGGCCTGGTCCAAGGAGAAAGAGTGTCTGGTATCAATTTGACTGAAGAGACAGGATTTTCTGAGCACAATTACATATAGAAGATATAGGATACCAATACCAACTTACTGGTTGATTGAGGTCAGAATAAGACATATGACCTTTTTAGGGATTTTAAACAAAATGTATAAATCCAAGTTGGTGAGACCCATTAAGTTATAAATAGAACAGGATCAATAATTTGCAAGAAGATGAATGTGTAGACCAGAGGCCAGCAGTGCTGAAAGCCAAGCAGGTGGAGTCGCTTACACACTGAAGGCACTGGCAATCTAAGAATGCTTGTCCTGAGGTGTGCTGTGTCTTGTGGTTTCAAAGACACGGATCAATAACATATTAAGTAGACACTCGAGAGGAAAGTCTCCCAGTCTTCGACTCAATTTTCCATTCAAATTCTCAGAGTTGTGTTTCTTAGAGTGCTACTTCTTCCAAGGCAGCCAGAGGATTTTGCTTAGCATATTCTAGAGCATGTTTTTTGTTTGTTTGCTTGTTTTTTGTTTTTGTTTTTTTTTCAAATCATTTCATTCTTTCAGGCTCTTGTTTAAAACAAGTCTAAGGTGAATAAGTAGGAAGGTCCCCTCTGGACAAGTCTGGATTACATTCACAGAATATTTACCAAACACACAGTGACCTTGCAAGCTAGGCACGTGTCCTTCCTCACAGTAGACATGCACATGTCATACAACTCTGTGAGGGAGGAAGTGGGTCTTAGGACTTGGGACTAGCTGACCTGCATTCCTTCTGTAGGTCATCTGGCCACAACACCTAATAAGGACACAGAGCAGCTGCACCTGGGGAAGAGGCTGCCTTCCGAATACTGACAGTGACTCTTGGAGGCCAATGGCTCTTTGAATTCAACTGAAAGTAGCTATCTATCATAATTGAGTTATAGAATAATGAATTACTAATATGGCTTTAGGTTGGGCAAGCAATGGTTTTATGTCCAGATCTTGAATTTCTTCTCTGTAAGCTGTCCTTGCTCTAGCCTGATAATACAGTCATAAAGGCATCATTATACTTTGTAGTTCTTCAAAGTGTATTTACAATCCCCTTTTGGGTCAATGGAACCCCAATTCGATCACAAGTTTAGTTTTGAACTGATCTATTATTGATACACACAAAACTCTGTCCAACTTTGATCAGATCTAAAATACTGTTTTGGTTTTCCATTCCTTTTTTCTTCTTTCAGGCAAAGGGCCTCATTTCCAGGGCACTGGAAATGCATTGTGCCACTGCATTAAATGCTAACACAAACAGAATATAACAATTCTTCAATATTAAAGGAAAGGCTAACCTGTCCAGCCACCGCTGCAAAGTAGCCATATAGTGGATCCTGAGTTTGTCCAGGGAACGTGGGCCCCCCAGGAGCCCCTCCATACTGTGAAAAAGAAATGTAAAGGCATCAGACACAGAACTGAGTTTATTCTTACATCATGCAAGGGTTTCATGCAATTGTGTGACCTTCACAGGGTCTGTCTCCCCCACCACCTCACACTCCAGCTCAGTGATCCACCAGGCTTTTCCACTCCTGTTCCTATTTAAAAGCTGGAGACTTGGTCTAAAATAAGTCTCCATGAAAGTGATGCCACTATATGCAAAGCCACGTAAAAATCCCCATTTAACTAGGTTACAGAGATCAATGTACCCAAAGCTAGCAATCTAGTAGCTAGGCTCGGGATTGTTTTCCTGTTACTTTTTTACGATTTTGCGATGTCTTAAAGGTACTTGAAGAATAGGTAAGACTGGAGTTAAGTACAGGGCTGACAGGTGTGGCTTGGGAAGAACGGGAATAGCCCGGTTGTATCTAAGATGAGGTTCCTTCTCTCTCTGACAGTACATCTCTGACATCTGGTCTTCCTCTAGGACTTCAGCTCATTTCTCCAGACTTTCTGGTTTCCCTGTCACTTTCTTTTCAAGGGAGTGACCACAGAACCATTCTAGATCAAGATGGCTGTTGTTGCTTTGGGGACATTCCGAGAGAAAGCAGGAAGTCAACATCCAGCTTGCACTATCTCACGCCACATATCCGAGTCACCGAGTGGGCTCGCCGAATCGCAGCCCACCCACCCGTGGGCCTGGGAAAGGCCCTAGGAAGAGACGGGGAAGAAAAATGGAGTGGGGCCAAGGTTGGATATCAGGGTCCAGGCGAGCTCTCTAGGAGCGTCTGGGACTGCCTGCGGCGCCTCCTCCCGCGCGTCGGTGGCGCCTTCCAGTCCCGGGAGCCGAGAGGCTGCTGTGCCCTCGCCTGCTGCACTTACCCCGCCTGGGTAGTACCCTCCGCCGGCGCCAGGGTGCCCGGGATACGCCATCGTGCAGACTGCCCCTCCGCCCTGTGTGTCTGCTGCTCCGCCCGTCCGCCCGGAGCCGCCCCGGAGCGCACCACACCGCCCCGCGGGGGACGCCGCTCGCCGCCACCCACCCCGATCGCCCCGCGCCACCCCGCTCGCTGCCCGCTCCCTGCTGCCCCCTTGCTGTGTCAGCGTCGCGTGCGACCCACGGTCAGGCGATGACCCAGGACCCCAGATGAGTTTACATCAGGACGCATTCTCCCTCTAGGCCTAGTGGCATATTCCGACATCCAAGCACAGCTAGGGGAGTTTTCTCTTCTTCCTACTGAGCTATTTTGTGGAACGTTTGTTATTTACACCGGGTTGTTGGATAGAGAAGATGGATTAAGGACGCTGTGCACAACTGTAGGGAAGGGAAAAAAACAATTCCAGTGGGTGAAGGAGACACTTTACAAAATAGGAAAGAATTTTGAAAACCCGATGAAACTTTGAATGAGGGTGGCCTGTTTCTTTGCCAACTGTTAAGCTGGGTGTAGCTCAGGTGCGATTGCTAGGCGTGGGTGTGTGGGGTGGGGTAGAAGAGGGCATTTTCTAGGCAGGACAGCCTCACCCAGGTCAGAAAATTGAATTGTTTAATTTTCTGGATGATTCAAATAGAAACAACTTTGGTGGTTAACCATACTGGAAAGGATGTATAACTCACTTGGGTTGCTCAGAAGATGTTTCAACCGTTTCTTTTTCGTTTTTTGGTGCAATTGCAACAAGAGATAATTGTGTGAGAGCACTTGATTGTTAAGGACCGAACAGTGTTGTTTGGTTGTTGTTGTTTTGTTTGTTTTTGATTGTTTGCTCTTACTCTTTCCTTTTGGAAGCCCAGGCTCTCAGGCTAGCCTCTTAGGGCCTCAGCGTCCAGATGAGTCACCATGGCTGCCTGGGTTGTTTGTTTGTTTGTTTGTTTGTTTGTTTGTTTCGTTTTTTTTAGCATTTTGAGAAATATTTTAATGAACAAGACTGGTGTGAGACTCTCAAGTTCTCTTTGGATATATAAACTCCAAAAACGAAAGTTCTGAATAGTGAGAAACATTCCGATAGTCCTTATGGTCACATAGTAAAGGTGTGGCCTGTTCTATGTCTGCTTCTGGAGATAAAATTGCTGTTTTCAAATACTATGGTCTTTGATTAGGCATTCTGAGGTTTTGTCCTGTATTTTTGGAACTTTAATCTAGGTGATCAGGGCTGAACTCACACTTTGAGTTTAAGCTCTTTCAGGATTCAAGTTTGAAAACATCACAAAAAATATGTGTCGCTAATAAAGTGTTTGTAACTAATGCAGGATTCATTTTATGGATAAGTGACTATACTAATTGTTACATTAGGAGTCATTAGACTCTAGTTACTCCTTCTCCTTTAAGAAGTGAATTTTAATGGAAGGCTATAAATGAAATCCTTACAATGATTGCCAACAAATTAGTAAGCCCTTGATGCTTTAGATTCAGGAAAAAATTACGTGGCAACTAATAATGACAATAAAGATAAATACACACACACACATATATACATACATAAAGTAATGAGTGTCAGACCTTCAAAACACTCTGCGTATTTGTGTAGTCCTCATAATGTCCTGTGAGATAGGTGCTTTTATTATGCAGTTAAGAAACAAGAGCTGAGAAACAGCAAGGAAAAGAGGATATGATTTCAGAGCTGGGCTACTCTAGCTCCACCCCTGAGGTGGGGATGGGGGAGAAAATGTCCAGATAGTAAATATTTTCCATCACATGCTACCTGGAACAACTTCTTGGCTCTCATAGCCTGATAGTATCTGAGGACAGAACAGATAACAGTGTGACTGTGTTCCAGAGCAACTTTATTTATTGAATTTAATATAGGTGTTGACTGTCAGAATAATTTTTCCTGTCTTTTAAGGTGTAACTATCATTCCTAGCTCTCAGATGTACTCCAAAAGAGGCAGGCCAGTTGTGGCCCTCAGGCAGTAGTTTGTAAACCACAGGCAAGCTTATGACTCAGGAAGTACGGCCCTTAGCAAACCACTTTGCTGGTTTTAAACATAAAGACTGTATTGGTAGATGAGTCAGACCAAGCAATGGTGACTTCCCCAGTGTACGAGCCCCTGATTAAAATGGCTATGTCAGGATCTGCCCACTGGTCAAAGAGATATGAGAAGAGGATGGTGAGACCATGACTTTGCCTGTCTCCCACCTGTGTATGCTCCAGGAGTAGCTCATGTATGCAGTATGACAGGCTGTCCTTTCAATGTTTATGCATGCAACACAAACCCTTTTATTCTTAGACTGAGCATTATATAACCTAAGCAATCCGAGAAAGGATAAAAATTCAGTATCACCATGGTAAAACTGAAGTGTGATCGTCTTTCGTGGTTTCCATGTTTATTTTCACAGACAGCGTGGAGATAGAATGAAATGGGCAGCTTCTCACATTCTTGGCATGTGCCAACTGTCATGCCAGACAGTTTCTTATGGCACTCCACCATCAGGAGAAGATGTAATTATGTTTTATAGATTATGAAACTGAGTAGCAAGTAACTTTCCCAAGGTTATCTACCAGGTTTTGACTCTCAGTGTAAGTTTAAAGCCTAAGTTCTTACAATAAAAAACAGACCATAAAACCACTAAGCCACGCTCATGCTTTTCCCTATGGTAGAGCTTCCTGAGGCATTAGGACAATACAGGAAAAGAACCTGAGAAAAAAACTTCTCAAAGATCCTCATGTCTGCTTTCCCAAGATCAACTTACCTCATCCTTAAGTAGAACCTATAAGAAGACGATAGCCCACCCCCACCCTGTTTCATTTTAATTTTGAATCAAATTAAAAACCCCAGCGGAGTAAGATGATATTCTTATCCCTATATCACCCAAGTGTGAGTCCTAGATACAGACACTGCCATTCATGAGCCATCTGAAGACACTCAGCAACAGAACACCACACTGTGCATTTATACAGAAGAGGGCTTTCTCACGGGAGCCAGAGTACTATCGTTCATCCTTAAAACCATACTAAGTTTTACAGGAAGTCTTCAGGGAGTTATTCAGGCATGCCACCCTGATTGGAGGCTGTGGCTAAAGGCTGAGGAAAGGCGTTTCCATTTTAAACCTAGAAGAAAATTGATTGAGAACAGGAACTTTGGTGATGTCTCGGCTAATCACACTCTTTTACAGATGACAGAAAGAGAGAGAGAGAGAGAGAGAGAGAGAGAGAGAGAGAGAGAGAGAGAGCCTAAAAAAAAGACAGTGGGTGGTCCACATTCTTGAAGGCTGACCTAGCTGAAAACAAGCATTTTGCCCTTCCCAGTAAAAGTCCTGACATTATTTGGGTTTGCTTCTTAGAAGGTGTTATGGTTTAGATCTTAAATGCCCTCCAAAGTCCATTTGTTAAAAGTTTGACCTCCGGCCTGCAGTGCTACCTAAGGGGGCGGGGGCAGCATTTCAGAGGTGAAAATTTAGAAGAAGGATGTTAAGTCACAGAAGGGTATATTGGGCCCTGGCTCCTTCCCTGCTTTCTCTGCTTGTCACCATAGTCATTGAAGGAATTCTCGACAGCTCAAGCTTGGATAGCCTGGCTCTGTCAGGCCTTGCCCTTGTCCCTTATTCCTTTGCTGAAAACTATTAAATTACATTCTTAGAGCTAGGCTCAGTGTCTATTCCCTTATTTGGCCACTTCTCCTCCTGAGGCTGACTACCAAGGTCCAACTATCAGAGAATTGAAGTCCAGCAATCCAAAGCTGCCTTTGATTCATGCAATTAACATGCCCTATTAAAATCAAACACATCGTTTTCATACAGGGTTTCCCCTTGTACCTTTAGAAACCACGATTTGCCTATGGGCCATGTCAGTCTCTTCGCTATCAAGAGGCAGTCCTTGGTCCTACAGAACAAATACCCCTTCCTTCTCTCCCTTGTTCATCTTCTCCCTTGTCTTCTATGTCCTGTCTTTGTCTTCTAGTCCCTGCCCTCTGTTTCTCAGGGGCAAATAAATCTTTGTGCTAAGAACTTGGTCTTGGGGCCTGAGCCAATGTTTTTCTTTGCAGTCATCCCGAGATAAGATTGCTTTACAGCACACTCCTATGGTGATCTTCACTATCAGCCCAAAAAACAGTGGAGACCTCTAGCAGTGAGCTGAAATAGACCTTCTTCCTCATAAGTTGTTTGTCTTGGGTATTTTGTTACAGTGATAGAACGCTAACAAAGACAGGATTCTATTCTTTTTTAATATTCCCTCTGAGACCTGTCTCTAGACATGTTTTCAAAACAAAAGATAACAGTGAGTCCTTAAAGCAGGGTTAACATGCACATTATATATAACATTCAGGCAGAACATCCTTATCTATATAGTGGTGAGAGGGACTGTCACAGTGTAACTGCAGTATTTCACCATTTCCTGCCTTGACTCAATCACAGGTCTAGTGTACGGGAAGAAATGAACAATGCATTTGCCAGCGTAAGGATTCAGCTTCCTTTTCGTCGTAATCTGGATGAGTTAACTTGTTATCTAAAGACTTCTGTCTGGGGCAGGCATATAAGTCTGTATTAGAACACTTGGATAGTGAACATAGGTCCTGATTTTTATCTGCAGCACCATATAAAAACAACAACAACAACAAAAGAGACAGAGAAGGAAATAAAGAAAGCCCACATTATGCCATCATGGAAAAACTCAGATCTTCAAGTTTGAGTGGGGATGAGTATCCAATAATAAGATGGACAATTAATACTAAACCAATTTTCTTCAGTCCTTGGGAAAAGATGTGAACAGCAGTGCATTCATGAATAGAAGAGGACCTTTTGCTCATTGTCAAGAGCAGAGCTCAATCAGTTGTGTGCAGTGCTTGCTGGCTCCCCAGAACATTACAGGTGACGATGCATTAGTAACCACAGCTAGTCAATAGACTTCCGCCACAATGGAAACACCAACCTTGTGTGCTCTTAAATGTGATACAAAGAACTAAGATTTTTATTTAAATAGCATTGATAACTAGTGAATCCCTTGTTGGATGGTATAGGAACTCATATATGTTGTCTTCCCTGTAT